TCTTCTTCCTGGAGATTTGAGAAATATTTTTCTCCATTTTCTCCAATATGTTCATTCCAATGGAACTGTGTTATACACAACTGTTGGATATATTTTTGTACCTAGTTGTGGCGTTAAAATCATAAGGAGGGCAATAAAAAGGGCATCAAATGACTTTCCATTGATCCCATAGCCATTCAATGTCAGATGTTAGATTCTTGAACACATGTCTTTCTTCTGAGGCAAGCTCTGTATCCGCTAAGTTATACTACTCCTCTACGTAAATTATATTATCATCATTAGAAAAAGGAGGTCACAAGCTAGAGATATGGGCACTGGTAAGGAAACTAGGTCTGAATGAGGATAATAACAATAGGGAAGGGAAAGGAGGGAGAAGATGTGGGAGATATGACAGAGTCTGCAGAAAGAAGAAAAGGATGATCATCTCTTCCACATACAGAAGAAAGATTAAAGAAGATAAAGACAATGCCACTGGATTTGGTGATTTAGGAGTTGACAACAGTTTAGTAGGCCTGCTTGTAGTTAGGGAGTGATCTCAAGGTAAGGAAATGTAAGCAATGTTCACTGACTATGTCATTAAGATGTTTATCAGTGAAAGGAAAAGGAGAGATCAAAATTCTTTGAAATACCACAATTACTATAGCAAAACCATGTCAAGTGTTTATCTGCTAATGGTACATCAGTAGAGTGGTTTTCAAACAAAGACAGTAGACTATTCACATAGAAAATACTGCTTTTATATCAACTCCAAAGTTTACACACCCTAGGATATGACTTCCAGACTTAAAGACCACAATTTTATAATGTTTCCATTTTTAATAGAATTGGGTTTCTTGATAAGGAAACACATACACATATGTGAAATACAAACACATACATTATATGTATGTTTCATATGTATTATGTGTGTTTAACAGCTTCATTTTACTATATATATATTTATTTATTTATTAAACAATTCCTCCAATCTTCTAAGAAACATAAAGAGAGTTAATGTAATGACGCAAGGTCTTTTTTTTTGTGGTAAATCTTATCTCTTTAGATAGAATTTCAAATCATTTTTTAGAAGTCTCTTTGAGGTGAAATTGAATTGTATGGAATGACTGATTGTTAAGGACATCTGAGCAAATGAGGTATTCATTTTATTCAGAAACCATTCAAGGATTTCTAGATGTTTTCATTTAATTTGCTTCATATCAAGTAGATAAGTTTTCCTTTGAGACACATAGCTAAAGAAATAAAAGATTAATAAAAGCCATATAAGTTTCTGCATTCCTGCAGAGTTTGACATAAAGCCTTAATATTATTCTGTTTCCTTCACATAGATAAATATACCAGGATACTATGATAGGAGTGTTCTTGTCACACGCCTTCCAAGTTCTTCTGTTATTGCCCATAAATTGAAAACTCTGAACAACAGATTAGTGTTGCAAGGAGAATAAGACATCTCCTGGGTTCATTTCTGAACCTAAGAAGTGGAACTTGGGGAAGGAAATGAAAAGCAAACCAACAAACTTGGGAATACCTAAAACCTAAGACAGTTAAGATACGTCTTCCTGATAATATACTGATCAGAAACCTAGGCTGAGCTCACTGAATCTCATAAATGATGGTTTGGCCTAATCTCAAGGCTTGGAGGAGAAAACAACAGGATGACAGTAAAGCATCCTGTGGTCATTCTAGGGCTATGTAAATGCAGAAAGTATAGTATCAATATTAAAGGCATTTGTATAACATAGTAGTAATCCACTTGCAAGTTCAGCTTAATTTTTTAAAAAATTCATATACTATCATCCTTTCATTAATAATTCATGTGTTTGATCATCAGCATTATCTTCTTATGTTAAGTCATACTCTCTTGCCCTGTCCTTCTCCAAATGACATCCTTGTTCTTTAAATAAAACAAATGTTTATTTCTTGGGTGGCAATAGGATTGCTTTATGTTATATATTAACTTGTAACACAACTCTTTTCTTAAAGGTAGCTGGATAGAGCAATGGGCAGAATGCTGGACTGGAGTTGAGAAGATCTGAGTTCAACTTTAGCTTCAGGAACAACTAGATGTATAACCCAGGGTAAGTGGCTTAACCTCTCTCTGTCTCAGGTTTCTTATCTGCAAAATGAGTATAATAACAGCATCTACCTCTCAGGATTGTTGTGAGTATAAAATCAGATAATATTTGTAAAGTGCTTTGCAAACATTAAACTTTTATATACATGCAATTATTATTATTATCAGAAACTATGTCTACATGTGCTAAAAGAAGTAGAGAGTATGGATATTAAATCAAATAATACTTTGCTTTTGCATCTTTACTCTTAGGATTCTTGAACATACATTTTCTTATTAGAAATTAATAATAAATTTCTGAGGTAGGTGAAACAGTGTTATTTTATAGCTGAGGAGATTGAAGGTAAGGATTTTTAAGCTCAGATCTGATCATATCACTCACCTGCTCAATGACCTCCACTGATTCCCTTTTGTCTTTAGGAGGATCAAACATAAATGTTTCTATTTGGCATTTAAAACCCCTCCCCAAAGTGGCTTCTGTCTATCTCAAATGAGATAATGATTTCAAGCTGCTTAGCATAGTTACTGATACATAGTAAACACTATATGAATGTTAAGTTATTATTATCATTATTTAATTAATTACCTGTCCAGACTTATTATACATCACTGCTCTTCATGCATTATTCTGTTCAGCCAGACTGGCTTTCTTGCTGTTTCTTCCACCGCATTTCATTTCTCATTTTTGACCCCCATATATGTCCTTGTCACCTCTGCCCCATAGATCCTTTAATTTCTTTCAAGACTCATCTCAAAATGCTACCTGCTATATGCAGCCTTTTCTAATCCCTGTTAGCTGTTAGTGTCTTTATAAATTCTTCCACTATATACGTACCTTGTGTCATTTGCTTTAAAGGAGGACTCTTAAGAAAAAAAATTCTAATAGTATATCTTGCAAGTGATTGTTATTTTAGAAATACAGTCATAGCAGATTAAATGTATTTTTTTTTACATTTGAATGTCTGTAGAGACAAGTCTTCAGACTCCACAGAAACATCTGTTATGATGCTTGCATCTGCACTGAGCCATTTTTAAAATCCTGCAGGAATTTTGGCTGACCACAGGGTAATAAATAGGTCTAGCCACAGACATGGTCTATTTTTATTTTTAGAGGATAGATCTAATAGTGGAATTTACCAATTTAAAACTTTGCCATTTAACTTTTCAGGGAAAGTTCATTGGGGACAAATATTCTCTCAATAATATTTTATCGAATAGAGATATCTTATATAAGTACAATCTTAAACTGGCTGAAAAGTACAGAATGATGCTAGATATATTTATGTTAAGGTCTTTGTTTTTAAGAGAATTTTCTCTGTGTGTGAGTCTAATGTATGAAGTTTAACTCTTTATTTGATTGTATTGAGTCTTCCTTTTTATCTTGATTTTTTCACCCACTTTTCACATATGGGTTGTCCAACTCCTAAAGAAACTCATTAAATTTTTCATAGTCCTGGGAAAGTTTCCCGAATTCAAAATAATGTTAAGGAGGATCAAAGCATTCTATGCATATTTGGGTGAAGTTTAAGGATCAAAGCATTTTGGGAATATGTGGATGCAGTTGGGTTTAACAGTCTGTCAGAATATTTAATTTTTCTTCATTAATTCTTCTAAGAAAATTTTCATAGAATAATAGCTTTGAAAAGATGTTAGGCAATCAAGCATAAATCAGGAGAACAGAGGAAGTGTGGTACAGTGGCAAGGATGCTCGACTTGGAGTTAGGAATTCCCAGTTTAAATGCTGCCCCTGGCACTTATTATCTTTACGATGCTGTGTAAATCACTTAACCTCTTAGTGCCTTAGACACCACCTTAGTGTGATGTCATGACAGAGTAGTTGTTTACAGGTAGGGAATTCCAGCACCAGAAGCTCCCCTCACTAAAGAAATCACACATACTTCCAATATCTATGAATACATAGTATGAGAAAAATGAATAATAATTGGCAGTGAGAAGTTTCAGGTTGTAGAAAAAAAGGACAAAGTATTTCAATGAAGAAAGTTTCAATTATGGAAAGAATTATAAATTCTATGGAAAACTGTTGAGTGATAGCTGCATTGTTCCCATGTCTTCAAAAATAAATAACTTGGCAAGTCAAATACTAAGCTGAAAATCATCTTAAGAGATAAATGCCATCCATGTACTCTGGTACCAAAAGTTTTAGTAACAGGCAGACTGAACAAAAATAGTTTTGAGAAATATATTTAACCTCCCAATCAAGTAAGATTCTCAAATCTCACTCCTCAGTAATGTACTTATAGATTTTTTAAATCACATGACAAAGCAAGCCACATACTATATATAAAATCTAATGTGGTACTTGACTTCTTTAATGAAATGCTTTACTGTGACTGTACAAATGAGGTGTTTAAACTCTGAGATACTCAAGATAGATGGCAATACCTATAATTATGGGATCATCACTTCTGCTGAATTGCACTAAAAAGTTAAAGTTCTAACTGCTCATATTATTGAAAAAGTAATAATAATTATAACTCTACCATGAAGTATTAAAAGCTGAATACTCCATTCTAAGGCTGCTGAAATAAAAATGTAATGAGAAAGTGAACCTATAAAATGCAGGCAATTCATACAAGTATGCTATATGAAGCTACTAAATCGCAAAGAAAATAAGTTCTGGGCTTTTATTTCAGGAGCCGTTTTTGTCAGTAACTTTATGGTGGAATGAGAGTGCTATTACAGTGAATACTCTTCATCTATGGATCATGTCTTTTCTAAAAGCAGAATGTTCTTACTAAAGACACCTAATCTCAATCTTTAAAAAAAAAGTACAGTGTCTAAATAGAATAAATGCCATTCTGATTTTATTGGTTCTGTGTTCAAGCCTTGGGTGTAATGCTCTCCTGATAAATTTTTATCTTTCCCACTGGAAATGGATGACCTCTTCTGCATGTGCTATTTCACTTACCATCATTGCGTAGTGTGAGTGGTGTTGGAGGGCTAAGAACTCGAGCATTTGTCACGGTGTTTTTCACTAGGCATATGTAACTGCCAACATCTGATGTTTGTACTTTAGAGATGTAGAGATTGCCTGTCTCCTGGGAAATGAAGCGTCTGCTGTCTTCTGCCACAAAGGAGGGAAATTCATTAAACACCCAGCTATAGATGATCTCTGAAAACACACAAAAGAGAACAGAGAACATTGTACTGAGAGACAAATGTCATGTAGGAAACATTGTACTACATAAATGTCATACAATCTGCTTGTACCAAATAGATTTTCATCCAGTTTTCTATATATTGTGGCTCTTCATCTTCAAAGATCACACACCTAGGGCTTGCATTCCAAAATCACAAAAGTTTTGATAAATATTGAAGGATGGGTGAGTAATTCCATCCCTATTCTTCCCTCAGTTAAGAAAAGTACAAACATTGGAATTAGAAAGGTTAGTTGCACAAGGAGAAAAATCATTCTACTGTTTGACTCATTTCCTAAAGCAAGAGTCCCTAAATTTTTTATTATTTTTTATTATGATTTCTCCAAAGCCTTGAGAAAATAGAGGTTGGAAGTCAAGTCATAGGGAAAGATGGAGAGCAAGGAGATCTACAGCACTGAGTGTAGATAAAAGTATAAGGCTGGGTTAGTGACACTGAGTGAAAATTCCTGAGCAGATCAGAGGAAGTACCACTGACGTCAACTCTGCTGCTTTTCCCCTGACAAATTGCAGAGAAGAGCCAAGGTAAAGAGATACACTAAATAAGTCTCATCTATTCATGGGAAACCCTTGTCTTAAACTCTAAGGCATAAGTTCTTAACCTATGCACTTTTGATAACTCTATTTTAATATAATTGGTTTTCTTTATAATCCTATGCATTTTAAAAATGTATTTAAAAGCATTGTTCTGAGAAGGGGTCCGTATGCTTTACTAGACTGCCAAAGGGGTCCATGAGACAAAAGATGTTAAGAACCCCTGGTCTAAGGCTTTTTTTTTCCCACGTGAAAACACAAAAATACTGCAGGAATTGGAAAGAAAACATATGGCATGAGACAGGGAACTAACTGAACCTGGACTAAAGAAGACCTGGATTAAAATCTCACCTCAGATACTAATTGTGTGACCGTGGCAAGTCACTTTCCTGAGTCTTCCTTCCCCTCTACAAAATGAGAATTTTAGAGTTGATTTCCTTTGTTGTCATTTGTAGCTCTAAATCTGAGATTCTATGATCTTATGAAACTATGAAATGAACAAGAATCATAGAATGTCATAGTTAGAAGAGATCATGGCAGCCATCGACTCATAACCATACTCCCAAAAGAATTACCACTATATTACACTCAGGTAGTCATTTATCCTTTACTTGAATATCTCCAATGATCATGTTATTTCATTTACAAGTTGTATTATTATCAATGAAAATATGTTAGATTATTTATGGGTTTATTATATGAACACTGTGGAACCGGATGTAATTAAAAAAATTGTGGTCTGATTGATTCATTGGGAGCTACTTACAAAATATCTTCCTCATGGAACATGATTTCAAAGCTGATAAGGTCTATATGTGACCAATGAGTCCCTCTACTTTTATTTATTTATTTTTTTGGTTATAAATTGAACAATCATCACCAAACACAAACAATCCAATTTAGAGAGAAAAAAACTATGAACTTCTATTGTCTTGTTATTGTGTCTAGATATACACATGTGAATATATATGTGTATACATACATGTATGTACATACATATGCATATAAACATTTAATAAGAGAATAACAAGCTTGTTTTTGTGCTTGCTTCTGAAAGTCCTGGTTTTCTTTGAAGATTTTTTCATATTTTATTGATGGGATTTTCTTTTTCCCTCATCTCTATCACTTTCTACTAATTTACTCTCTTCTTTAATAGAAGCTTTACCTGTTAATAAATAAGTATAGTCAAGTAAAGCAGATCAATACACTGTTCATGTCTGAAACTGTATGTTTCATTCTGTATATTTCATCTATAACTTCTCTACCAAGAGGCTAGAGCCATGTTTGATCATTTGCTTTCTGAAATTTTGATTGAGTACCACACTGATTCCAGTTTTGAAGTCTTTCAAAGATGTTTTTCTCTACAATTATCTTTAATATCACGAAAATTGTTCCAGTTCTGTGTTCCAGTTCTTACTCTACAATTAGCTCCACCTTTGGCTGCAAAGTATATAATCAATCTGATTTCAATATTGACCATCTGGTGTTGTCCATTTGTAGAGTAGCCTTTTGGGTTGTTGAAAAAGAGTGTTTGCTACACTAAAAAGTTATCTTAACAAAACCCTCTTAGTCTTTGTCCAGCTTCATTTTGTACTCCAGGGCTGAACAGGCCTGTTATTCCAATTATCTTTTGATTTCCTGCTTTAGCATTCCAGTACTCTATGATGAATGTGACATTTTTTGGGTGTGATTTACAGAAGATGTAGATCTTAATAGAACTTTGACCTCTTTAGCATCAGTGATTAGAGCATAGATTTGTATTGTGATGCTGAATGGTTTGTCTTGGATTTGAACAGATAGCATTCTGGCATTTTTGAGATTATACCCCAGTACTGTTTTTCTCACCCTTTTATTGACTATAAGGGCTAATCCATTTCTTCTAAGGGATTTTTGTCCACAGAAGTATATGCTGTGATCACCTGAATTAAATTCACCAATTCCCATCCATTTAATTTTAGTGACACTGAAGATGCCAATGTTTAATCTTTCCATCTCACCTTGGTTCGTAGATCTTATATTCCAAGTTCCTATCCAATATTGATCTTTAAAGTATCAGATTTTCCATTTATCTGCAGACATATTTCCTAGCTTAGTGTCTTTTCATTGGTTCTATAGCCACTTGTAGTTGTCTTCTACTGTTCCCTGGTAGCGTGCTGGACATCTTCTGACCTGAGGGGCTTATCTTCTGGTGTCATGTCTTTTATAATTTTAAGACTGTCCATAGGGTTTTCTTGGCACAGATACTAGAGCAGTTTAACATTTTCTTCTCCAGTGGATCGTGTTTTGTCAGAACGGACCACAGTTTCATTGAACTACACAAGCCTCTCTACCACCACAAGGCAGTGATCCAGGAAGAGGTAATGGAATTAGCCACATTTTATTTATAAAACAAACCTTTCCTCAGGCTTCTCAGGAGGAAAATCTTCAGAATAATTTCTGGGATATAGATTTAGAGTTGGAAAGGACCTTGGAGATCAGCTGGACAAGCTGCAGATTTACAGATGAGAAAGCTGAGGCAAAGAGAAGTTAAATGACTTGTCCAAGGTCACACAGGAAGTAAGCAGCAGAATTGGACTCTGATCTCAGGATTTCTGACATCACATCTAATGCTTTTTCATTCCATGGTATAGATTTGAGTCACCACTGATGTGTATTCTTCCCAGTGTCAATTGCCTGCTATAGTTAGTATTTCCCTTATGTAATTCATTGATCCAATTATTGGCATTTTTATATTATTTAAACTCTAAGTTTCATACTGAATATGTGGTAGAATACAAAGAATGCTGTATCTGGAGTGATAATACCTGTATTCACATTCTGCCACTTGCCACCTGTGTGACTTTGGGCAAGTCAATTATCTGCTCCAAACTTTAGTTCCTCATCTATAAAACGAGAAGACAGACTAGATGACCTTTAACATATGAGGTACTGAGAAAGTAAAAAGTCTCATAATTATCTATAATTCTGAGAAATTATTTTCTAGTCCTGAGAAGTAAAGGAGGCATTATCATAGAAATATCAGTGGAAGCAAGTTTCTCCAATAAAATATACTGGTGAGCACCAAAGATCTAGAAAACTCTTACCATTCATTCCAAGTCTATCATACCTTACACCTATATTTGCTCCCAGGCCTCTGCAGCAGGCCAAACAACATTGCTGGGGCCATTAGTTCCATAGGAGGAGAATCCATCAAGGCATACCTGCTGTGTCCCTAACGGAAATTTTGGGATTCCATGGAGAACCAAATTTCACAGGATTAAAAAGTAAGTGAGAGGTGAGAGAATGCAGAGAAGGAATGTAGACAGTTCCCCTCTATTCCCTATCCCTCCCCCTACGTGGGGACATATAAAACATCAGATGGACAGGATAGCAGCCCTGATAAGGTAGGGTAGGTGTGTTAGGTATGGTCAAGGGTATTTTAAGGATGGAGATCAGGGTATGTTTGAAGGCAATAAGGAAGGAGCCAGGGGAAAACAAAATTGGCGAAGGGAGGAAAGAAGGGAGGAAGGGAGGAGGAGAGAAAGGGCTGTTGATGATCAAATAGGCAAGCAGTGGGGGCAGAAGGAAAAAAATACAGATCATAAATTATTAAAAGAATTCTATTGAAGATTTTTATATCAAACTATTTGTTACAGTTATGACTGTATGAGTGGCAAGTATTTTTAATCCCCTTGCTGCTTACTTACAAAATGATTCATAATAATCGTATAGTTTTCTCAAAAGAAGGTTATAAACTAGTTGTGGTACTCATTTCACTAATAATATTCCTATTATTTTGCTCAATTGACCTCTAAATTCAAGGACATCCATAAGCAGAAAACTACTAGAGGGCAGATCCATTTATATAAATCTTATTTAAATCCAAGTTGATCTTCATGAAGATTCTACAATGAATTCCAAGATGCAGCCATAACTTATATTGGAATTCCTTCTGTCTCTTACCTCAGCCTAGCAAGGCTTTGTCTGATAACTGAAATTGCCTGTGTTTTCTACATTTTATACTTTAGGATTTAGATGAGGTGTGGGGGAGAGTTCAATTATAATCCATTTAATTTAAGGTTATCTAATACTGCATTCCAAGACGCCTGTAACAACTTTGTGAATCATTATTTACCAATAATTTTGGCAATGAGAGAATAAATATTTACAGACAATAAGTTTCTCCTCTCTATTTTTATGGAAGAATACCAAGTCTTTTTGAGGGGCCTGAAAAATGCTCAATTAGGTCTTCAAATAAATTTTCAGTTTCACATAGCCATGCACTTCAGGATTCCAGGAGGGAAAGAAAGCAGAAATGTTGCATACAATGTAAAAAGCTGACATTTTGTATTTGGAAAGGATTTTCCAGCAGTGCCAAAAATGAAAACAGTAAAGAAAGTAAAATATTTGGGGATTCACTGATTTCTTTAAATTTAAAAATGCT